AAGTTCTTCTAGATTAGATAATCGACTGCATAGTGATTCACAAAAACGTTGAATATTAACCATTCTCAATGTTTCTTTAATCGTACAAAGTGATCGAATCTAATATAAAGAAAGTTTTTAGAAAAAAAAAAGATGAATATCAATATAAACAGAAGTACTGACTGGTTGGTTAACACGGATTCCGACTTGATCGGTATTATGAAGTATCACTCGAGTTAGAAGACCTATATTATCAATCAATACTAATGTATCTACATTATGAGCTACTCTTAATATGGCTTCTAATTGAGCAGTATTAACAGAATAGCTCCAATCAATAGTAATTTGTTTAAGTAATGCCCATGGAACTAATGATGATAGAGAATTTCCACAATTACCAAGTTCTGTAAAACATTCGTCGCATTGATCACCGCTAATATATAATTCATCAGAAGGTAGAAACAAATACTCACTTGTAATTTTCATTGGACAAGGTCTGATAAATAAAAATAAGAAAATATCTCTAAAGATTTTTCTATGATGTAAATAACGTCTATAAAACATACATTTGAAGATATTCATAATTAATTGACTGTCCAAATTTAGTACCAGTGTAGGATAATGTGTACAAGACAAAACAATATTTATCATAATCATTACTTATAAAAAAGTCATTTCGGATAAATACTTTTGGTCGTTGTCGATTAACCAGTCAGACAAGCGTTGAAAAAAACGACGTTTTTACGCGTAAAAAGCGCACATTTTTACGCTTTAAAAAAATATTTTTTTTTGGAGAAAAAGCAAGTTTATAAATATTCAGGTTATGAAATTCATTTTTAAAAAGAAAAAATATATTTTTTTAACGCGTAAAAATGTGCGCTTTTCAAGCGTAAAAATGTCGTTTTTTTCAAACGCTTGTCTGACTGGGAATGGCCAAATACAGATGAAAAAAGTGCAATCGTTCTATGGAAACTTATCTTATCGATACAGTTCAAGCTAAGACGAGATAGTCGACATAGAAGATGAGCATCAGCAGGAGCCGGTAATCTAAAAAGTTTTATTTTATTAATATTTTTTTTAATAGGTCATACTATATTAATTACTTCTGAATATCAAAATTATTCTCATGGTTTATTTCTTTGTCTTGTATCCCAACAGAAAGATTTCTAATAGAAGAAATACATTTTAATAAACGTTGTATGAAGGCTAATGTATTTATGCCTATGACCAATGAATGAAAATGATTTGTATTTGATAAAGTCATCAAACGTGGTGTTCAAGATGTTGGTAATGCTTTGTGATTTCTAGGACAAAAATTACATGGAAGTCGACAGTTGGTTAAGTTAGGAAGACATGAACACACCTTTTATCAAGATTAAAAAAACACTTCTACAGATTTAATAATAAATTCAAGTAAACATTGTTTCTTTATTTTAGCAAGACATGTTCCTTCTATTTCTTGGTCCACCAATCACATTAGTTAAGGTAATACGTAATGAAATAACTCGATGTCCTAATCGTTTTAATACATTTTGACATAAATTATTGAACATTGATAATGACATTCTATTATCACCAATATGAATATGCCATAAATATTCATACATAATTATTCTTGAAAGATAATTATTTAATGATAAAAATGATTGAAGAGTTTCAACAGCAAACAAATAAGAAAATATTTCGAAAATAACATCAACAAGTAACAATTCAAACGTATTCACCATCATTCTATTCGTGTTTTCTTTAACATTCATATTGAGTTCGATAAATATTCACGTAGACAATAATATTCGTCCATCAGTTTTGTTTGACGAATTTTTTTTTTCTGTATTAGGGTCAATAAAAGAAAAGAAAACAAATACTTCTTTTCAAATTTAATTATTGCTTTGAAACAAAAATTAAGAAAAAAATCTCAAAATCAATGTTTTTTGCTACAATATAATGGATCGACGATGTGATCCATGTTCGGTCCTATCTTTTGTCTCTAATTGAGGCTCATTGAGACTTATTTAATTAGAATATTAATTTAAAAATTCTAAATTATTTGTGCAATTTACAAATGTAACGAAAATGAGAAAAATAGGATGATGTTTTTTCTCGTTTGAAGTGAGAAAAGAGAAAAGAATAAGCAAATATATATTATCGTTCATAAAGTCATAGCATCTAACTGCATAATGACCGAACGCTCTCACATAATTCAGCCAATAGAAGATGAAAATAAACTGTTCCTTTGGTATTGACATAACTAAGGCAGTTCGTTTCCATTCTCAACTTTATGTATCTGTTTGATCTAAACAAACAATAAACTTTGTTTTCTTCAATTTGTCTGCAGCAACATGGTGAGTTAGATCTAATATTTAAATTTTCTATAATACGAAAGATAACTAAGGTACATCGAAACATCGGTCATGAATTTTATGTCGCTGATGAGGGACTTCCTAAAGCTGCTGACCTGTCTACTAAACAGACTGTCGCTTGACTATCATTCGTTAAGGTTTGTCTTCTTAAATCTCAAACAGATCTTCGTAGATTCTTTTTTTTTATTCACTTACCAATCGATATCTATCAAGGAAAATAAAATCGTCTTATTTCTCATTTGTATCGAAATAATCGAGAAACCAATAACCTGATGAATAATGAAGAAAGAATAGTTCTCTAGATGTTTTCAAGATTTCTTTTTTCTCAATAGTTCAAGTTGCAGCATTTTTATTTTCACGGAAATCAAATAATTGATGAAATTATAATATGATTGTCACCTAGTCGAAGAACATCTCATAAGTAGTTTCAAATAGTTACTTAACAGCTTTATAAATTTGATTTCATCAAATATTTATGAGGCATACGAAAGAATGCAGTTTACTCTACTTGATAAGTAAAATTTATTGTTATCAAGATGATCAATTGAAGAATATTCGTACAAAGAATCCCAACATAGCCTTAGAAAAATTGATGCGTTGAATTCGTTGCTTTTGGAAATTGAAAAAAATTTAATTTTTTTCTACTTGAGTTGCCCGTTGTAAATTGTAAACACGAGTATGCTTTTGTAAGAAAAGGCATTTGAGATGACACCTACTCAGACAGAAATTGCAACGATGAAATAGCATGAACATGTTATCTTTTAAATCATTCTCCTTTAGTTCGAAGTAATTAGTGATTTTAACGTTTTACAAAAAAAATCCTTCATTTGTAACACTTTTTTATCACTATTTTTCTTATTTTTAGGATCATTTTAATGCCATTTCATCGTTACAATATTTTTGTACGAATATTTTTGTTTTCGAATCGACTTTTTTCAATTGATTTTTTATTTTAGTTTACATAACAGAACAAGCACTCAGGTATTTGAACCATTTTTCCAAATGAAAGAAGTACAACCGCCTCCGTTCGAAAAACTCCTGACACGAACACCGAATTCTTGCTTTCAAATTCCTATCATATTTGGCCGTTAACAGCGTCTTTCCTTGGGTATCTCGCCAGAAACTCACCGATTTAGAGTGCCAAAATCATTGACCTTACATTGTTTTTGTAGTTTGGGTGTGAGTGGGTGGGTGAAGAGAAGACACATGGCTATAGTAGCAAACACTCACCCGCACCCTCGAATCAATGCTATATAAATTTTGTTTGTTTCGTACAATTGCTTAACCGACATGATATATCTATATTTAGTGGGTGTGGGTGTGGATCAACAGAATAACCGAACTCATATCTGCACACACACCTACACTCACATCCAGGACCACCCACACCCTAGTCATATAAAATAAAATAAGTTTGTATGTTAGCAAGCACTTTCTGAGTCACGGCACACAAATTAAGATAGTAGAGACTTTTTATTAAGTTTAACCGAATGTAATCGGGATCCAGGAATCCGAATCTGTAATCGGTTTCTGAGAATTTCGAGTTTGATTTTTTTCGTTAAAGAAAACGCTTTTTCAGGTAAATGATTACGTCAACGAAAGGAAGAGCCTCACAGTGAGTATAGGTGTCGCGCAAGAGAAGTACCACATGCACACCCTCACTAACACACCTACATTCATACTCATAAAAGCGCGTCCGCACTCACATACCAAACCTACATCCACACTCACGCCCTGGTTAGCTTTCAATTAATATACTTCGGAAACTAAGGAAAATATATAGGTATTCCATGGACTCGAATAGGTATTTAGTAACTTTTTTCTATTGATCAGTTACATCTTATATATGATTGGTCGTCTTGTTAGCGTCTTATCGGTTATTGTTTTCTTGTTATTTCGTGTTGTGCTTTCAGATTAAAAACTTGCTTTGCTTCTTCGATAAAACGAAAGAAAAAAGAATAGTGTGTAGAGGTTTCTCTGGATTATTTACAGGTGCACAATGGAGTCTTCAAACTCAAAACTAGAAAGTCTTGTCGTACAGCTTCACAACCGAACGAATGACGCAAAAGAAACTTTTGATCAAATCCTAGTAGAACTTAAACATCACATGGCTGACAGCGAGAGACAATATCAGGAAAAGTTCAAGCAGTTAATGGAAGAACGACGAAAATGGGACGAAGAAAAAGCGACAATAGAAAAAATAGCAGCTTCAGCAAGTCCAATTGTTAAATTAAATGTTGGTGGGGAAGCTATGACTACATCAAGAGCTACATTAACACTTGACGAAGGATCTTTACTTGCGACTATGTTCTCTGGTAAATGGGACAACAAATTGATGAAGGATACAGATGGATGTATATTCCTTGATTATGATCCAGTTGTGAGTAGAAATTTCGAATATTCATGTATAACTCTGTTACTTTTATCATATATTTTGCGACGTCTCTTGTCAAATTTCGCCGATCGAATTTCTTTTATTTATTGCAGCCTCTTGCTTTCATGTATAGGATCCTATTAGAAAAATAAAATAACGTTGAAAAAGCATTTTGTGGAACTCACATATATTTTCGAAGAAAATAGTGTGTAAGTTTTAAGTCGAAGTTTTGGTAGCTACCCCCTCCTCTTAATTACAGACACTTCTGATTACGGACGTTACCAATGAGTTTTGCATGTGGTTAGCGGACATTACTGAACAGGTGGGGGAGGGAAGTGACCCACCCCATTCCAAAAATTCAGACATTTAGAATATTTTTTAAGAAATTTTTGAAGATTTAGAAAAAACAAATTTTAAATTTTCGAAAAATCACTGACCCTCCACCAAGTTTTGGCACTTAGAGAAATCTCTAGTGGTTATGTATCATAGCTGAAGAGAGATATGTGAGTTCCACATTGCAGCCTAAGAGGGCCTATGCTAACAAGTTTTTCTCTCCACTTAATTTTCCGTTTTGTAAAATGAAAATTTTTCGGAATAAGATTTGTTTATATTCACCTGCCAATAGCTGTTGATATTGTTTATTTGTAGTTATTCAAGTTTCTCTTAAATCAGCTTCGTGCTTGGTCAGATCTATCTGTAAAACGTGTCTTTCGTCTACCTGTCGGTTCTGAACAATCGTTCTTAGAATTGGTTCGTCTATTGAAATTTAATGAGCGATTTATCGACAGCAAACAAAGTACTATAACTAGTGTCGCTAAAGTTGTTCAATCAGAAGAAGAATCAGAGCGCTTTGGAACTGTCAGTAGTTCTACTGTTCAATTGACTAATGATAATCGAACATGTAAGACAACTGTTGACAGCAATTGGCAATATCTATTAGGAACGCTGACTTATTCCACTGGAAAACATCGAATTCGATTGAAATTGGAATTTGGTCGGACCAACATTTTGATGGGTATTTGCAGTCAGAACAAACCACCTACCGGCCCTCAATTTTATGACAAACCTACGACGCATGGCTGGTTCATACATGGATATATGATGAAGAATGGTCAAGGCTCCCATCCAGGATGGCCACAAGTTGCTGTGAACGATATTTTAGAATTGACAATTAATTGTGATGAACGATCGCTGAGTATTCTTAACGAGAACAGTCGAGCACAAAATAATATGCAAGTTAATATTAATGAAGCACCCTTTCCTTGGTGTCTCTTTGTTCTTTTTTATAATTTGAATAGCCAGGTCTCTCTGGTGGTATAAAAGGTAATAAAAAATGACATTTGCTGATATACAGAGTGTGGATGTGAGTGTGACTGTGAGTGTAGGCACAGTTATGAATGGAAGGAAGATCTGAACCCATACCCTTAACCATTCTGGAAATTCCTTAGTTCGTTTTTGAATTTGTTTGTGAATCCATTCTTACTTTATTGAACCCATTATGTTGGTAAACTATCTCTCTCTTGTTTTGGATCACTTTTTTAGCTTTATTATCCCTTCTTTTACTGGTTTTAAATCGAATCCTCTATAGAAATTAATAAGGATTGTAAAACCAATCATGATATCAGGATAGCTAAATTCTGAATTTTTGGATGGTAAATGTTTTCCTTGAAATGGAATAGCGATTTCCTTTTCCTTTTTCTTTTCTGATCATTCACATTTAATCGTGTAATGATAACTCGAGGTGTGGGTGTGGATTTCGTCTTTTTATTCTTTTCTACACCCACACCCACTCACCAGAAAGGTATCAACAGCTGTCGTTAGTTGTTAACCATGTTCGATCAAAATATATTTTTAAAAAATTCCCGTTGAATTTAATCGAAAAAATATAGTCTTGTGTCGTTATCTAATAATAAACATGTAACATGAAGACTTGAATCTATGTTTAATAAATAATTCAAGTGGGTGAATGTGGGTGTCGTCTTTTTGTTCTTACCTACACTCACATCCCACACCTGACACCCTTACTTTGTTTTTGTATTTTGGGTGTGGGTGAAGAAAAGACACAAGGCTATAGTAGCATACACCTACACCCACCTTCGAATCAATGCTATATAAGTTATTTTTCTTTCGTACAATTGCTTAACCTACATGATATATATTTAGCTTTTTCTTGTATTTTTTTGGAACGAATGCCGAGTCTAGTGAAAGAGTTCGACACTAAGTGTCTTTTGTGCTTTCGTATTAACTAAACAACATTTATTGCATTGTTTTTCTTGATATTTATATATTTATGAATATAAAGTGTACGTTGATAAAAAAAGATCAGCAAAGCGTTTGCTACGAGCATATTAGCATAAGAGCTAATAATTCACAAAAAAATGTTTTTTCTGAATTATTTTTGATTTCGCTCAAAAAAAAGGTTCTGATGGTTTTCTGATTTCGAAAAAAAAGTCTGAATTTGAAGTTGTTGATCCGGCAACTCTGGCTCTGGATAAGATGCACTCACATGGAAAGAAAGAACAAAACAAAAGTGAAATCTGAGTTTTTTTCAGCACTCATTTGTTTACACTTTCTACGTTCACGTTGTCACTTACCGTACAAACAAGAACAGAAGAAAACAAAGCAGCGGTAACGATGATAAAAATACATCAGTGCGAATTCTGACTTCGCTTGTTTGTTTGTTTTTAATGTATTTGTGTACTCAAAAAGTGAGTCCACTATAGAATCGGTCAGTATGTCCGACTGTTTATAAGATAAATTTTGAGAATATGAACCGATTGTCATGAAACTTTTGTGCATAGAGTCATCCCATCGATATCTTGATCGAGTTCGAAGATGAGAATGATTCATCAAGAAATTGCTGAGTTATCGCAAAAAATGTCATTATTTCCTGTGCTTTTCTATGCGAACATTGACCTATCCCAGTTTTCGTAAAAAGCTTTTTCTCTCATAATCAAAACCAAATCTCAACTATTATGTACCATTCGATAGAGAATTTCACAGGTTACAAGATGGTATTTAAACATTAAGAAAAAATTGATCGATCGATTCGATAAAGGAACCGCAGGTGGTCATCTTAAATGTATTGGATACAAATCAGATATGAACAAATTGAGTTTATGTATTCATTTCACTGGCAATCATTATGATGCCCGCTTACCATTTCTAAATAATTCTCAGCAATTTGTATTCGTATATGACATAATTAATATGAGTTTATAAAATGAAGGAAGGTTCCATAAACTCATCAAAATAATTAATTAAAATAAACAAATTTTCATTTATGCAAATAAATAAAGGCTCCGGAACTAACTCCCACCGTGTCCTACAGGACAAAAAGAGGGCATTGGAAGGGCCTAAGAGGCAGTTCCTTAGTGCGCTCAAGGATGATTCTTTTTAGAGAGTTTGATCAAAATCAATCTGTCGTCAATTATTTTTACATTTTGAAGTACACATAATACTCGGATTTAAATCCAAGGTTTCCATATTTTATTTTTTTAAGTGTATGAGAGGAGGATGAACGTGAGTAAGTCTTCTAAGTACCCTTACCTACATTAGAGCCCGTTGACCCAAAATTTTCGGGCTCAAGCCTGATCCATACTCATAATATTCTCAATAAAATTTGTAATGTCGCTTAATACTCGCTCTGAAGATACGAGATAACTTTTTCGTTTATTTGCATAACGCAACTGGCATACCCTACACATTTCTAAGGTCATCTTGGCAGTGATTGTATACGAGTAGACATATTCAACTGTTGCTTTTAAAGTGGCGTGTGTTGAATCAGACCCACTCAGATTGGACTGATGGAGCCCAAGCCTACATTCACTTCTTCTTTTTCATTTAATATGAAATTGCGATAAAATGTTCTTTTTCGTACAGATTTTATACACATTGATAGAAGGCTTGTAGTGAATATTCCATAAAGCACAAGATGTCCTCAGTACGATAGAGAAAAAGTTATCTCGTATCTTCAGAGCGAGTATTAAGCGACATTACAAATTTTATTGAGAATATTATGAGTATGGATCAGGCTTGAGCCCGAAAATTT